AGCTGTAGGAAATGAAATATGGAGAAATTAAGGCACTAGTTCAAGTCTTCTTGAATATTAGTTGTAGAGCAGGATTAGAACTCCCCTAATCACATTCCTAGGGCAATAATCCAAACTACACAAGTATAACCAGCTCTCTTCTTTCCAAAGGTAAGAAAATACTTGGATTATTTTGAGATATAAAAGCGCTCTCCAGTTGACTTTACTGGGAGGGTTATTTGCTATTCATTTCTCCCATATGCTAGAGAATAAATATCCTTTAAAAGAAAATAAAAAGCCTTCTTTAAGTTACACATTAGTGGCTTAGAGTAAAAATAAAATTTAACTCCCAATCATATTAATCCCTATAGTATTATGATAAGAGTGCAAAATATGGTAATAATTCTATATCATTATAAAAATCATTGTATAACTCTATAAAGTGCCATGTAAACACTAAATAAGTAGCACTGATATTTTACTCTCCACCCATTAATAAGGAAAACCATATGAATACCAAATAATATAATAGTGGGGAAAATAACAATGCTTTTTAAGCAAAGATCCTTTGTAATAATTGAAACCCTGCCATGAACTCAAGTTTGGTTGTAGAACCAAAGTCTATGTAGTGAGACAAAAATATATACCTGTTCCCCTTCAACCACAATGTGTGTCATTCCAGCAAAGCCTACCTGTATTTAAACTGTGAAAATTCTGTCTCGGAATGGCTAGGAAATTGTGACAGTAACAAGAAGTCATAGCCCTACTATCATATTTACAACAAAGATAAAATCTTCAAAGTTAGTCTTAATTTCAATTTGAAAAATTCTTGACATGGAAGCAAATTTTCAAGTGTGTAGAACAGAGACCTTGATCATTAAATATTCTGTAATCCAATTATTTTGAGAAGATTATTCTAAATGAAGTCTAAGCTATCAGATAGACATTGATGTAACCATTTAAATTAAAAGCCAATTCTTAAATTCCTGCCTACAATCTAAATGTTTTGTCTGGAGGGGTGAGCAGCTGGATTCTGAGAAATACTGGGTGATATTTCTTTTCTTTTTTCTCCTCCCAGGTAGATGTTTGCCTCAGGGTAGATTATTTGAAATGTTCTATCTACAACTTAGCAATTAAGTATGCTGAGGAAATTTTTTTTTCTAGATAAAACTAAGTGGAGCATTTGGAAAGATAGGACAGAGTAAGGTTGTATGTGAAGAATAATTGTTAACTAACAGGGTTAGAAGGAAGGACCACAATGTCCCCTCTACATGAAGGATCATAGCCCGCTTAAAGTTAAAAACTATGAAAACATTGATTATGGGATTAAAAAAAAAAAAACAAAACTTTAGCAGCTCACAAGAAAAGTCTCCTGAAGCATTTCTGTTCAGGCAACAGCTAAGAACAGAAAATATTTATGAATCTTTAACTCAATTTTCTTTTTTAATATTCAGTTGCTAGCACTTCAAAGTAAGGGTCATATTGAGGATCAACAAGTCAATCAAATTCATCTCCGCTCAATCTATCCTTGAAAAAAAATTCTTTGTTATAAAAATCTTATTTTATTCCAAAAGAAATAAAAATATATTTACTTTTTTTTTAAAGATTTTTTTTTTATTCATTTGAGACACAGAGACACAGAGAGAGAGAGAGCATGAGGAGGGGGAGAGGCAGAGGGAGAGGGAGAAGCAGGCTCCCTGCTGAGCCAGGAGCCCAACTTGGGGCTCCATCCCAGGACCCTGGGATCATGACCTGAGCCGAAGGCAGATGCTTAACCATCTGAGCCACCCAGGCGCCCCAAAATATATTTACTTTTAACACTTAATTCCTATTTATTCTAAAAATTTTTTTTGTTGTATCTCTATTTCTTGTTAGTGTATTTTTACTCTGAGATGGAAAGTAGTTACATTGAAAGAGTTTATAAGATTGTGAAATTTGTCTTAAAACCTATATGTATGAGTAGTTGTACATAGAATGTATGTAGTTTGTGAATATAATTACACACAATCATACGTATATGCATATTTTATTTTTCAGCCCATGTTTCCTCACACATGAGTTGCATTTATTAAAATCCTTTATAGGTATTCTTTATCCTTTGTGGTTTGTATAATATGCCCAATGACTTCCAAATAAAAAATTCTATATGTGAAATTGACTCATTATGCTCAGTTGAATAGTGAAGTAGCAATAATCAAAGCACTTGTAAATATTAAATATGGTGATAAACTTTGGGAAATCAGCAAAGTAAATACCACTTTTCTTCAATGTGTCCTCTAGGGTACTTGTTGAAAATGAATATTCCTGAGTTTCATCCCAGACATAATGATTCAGAATCTTTCAGTGTATGGTTCAGGAATCTCCATTTAAGCAAGTTTTCTAGGTGTTTCTTTCAATAGCACTATATACAAGATACAAGACAGTTTATATAACTTTGAGGTTCAGAAATTAATATTTCACACATAAGAAGAGATATTAGCTATTAACATCCTCACCTCAATGCTTTATATCCTTCCTTGTTTTACTTTTGTATAAACACAATATAATAAATTTAATCAATTTAATAAAGGAGAAAAACTTATTCTTTGCAGTTATGGAAAGGAAAAAGTCAATGAAATGTTTGTTTTTTTAATTCCCCTTCAACTTTCTAAGTGTTTCTACTGCCACTATTTACCAAAAAAGCCTCTTTTAAACTGGCTTCCAGGGTCCCACATTTTCCCAGATGATTTTTGTCCTTCTTTAGAATCAGCTTTAGAAATCAAAGCTTCTATTTCCATCCAGCCCTATTCAGCCACTCAAATGGCTTTTTTTTTTTAAATAGGATTGCAGCAAACTAAAACTCTGATCACATTCTCTGCACTAAACTGCAATGACTCCATTCCCTCTCATTACTGAGAAAATGTGAAAATCCTATTGGAGAATTTACATGACACACAGTTCCCTTTCTTCAGAGCTATTTACAAAACTCATCTAGGCTAGTATGCAAAGAATTAAAAATTAAAATGCATCACTAAGTTTTACTTTTTACATAATACTGGAAAAGTCAGAGCTGTGGCAATAAAAAGACATCTTAAACATACCATGATGAATAATAATAAAATTACATATTTTTCATTAAAACAAGACCATTGGAGATAATAATAATGTATTCATCTATTTGGTTAAAAAACTGTTTACTAAGATAGACATGAGTAGGAAGGAAAGACCTATTTCCCTGTCTAAATTTCAATCCACAGGTTTCATAAATGCTAAGAATATAAGAATGATTTTCTATCCATAAGCAACCAGCAACTCTCTAACTTCTGAAACAAATCAAGAGCTACATATAACACTAAACAGAAAAATATATATGAAATTTTAGATAGAAAAAATATTTTTCCAGGATTCCACTCAAATGTAATGCACATGAAACATTTCCAGTAAAAGGCTGTCTCCACTTTTGAGAAAGCTATTTAATCTCATGCTCTTAATGGAAACACATTTTATTTTAAAGTAAAGGAGAAAGGTATGAAAAGTGCTGAAATAATTAAGCAGACCCTGTCTCTGCTTAGAAACTCCAAAAAAAAAAAAAAAAAGCTTTCACACCTTATTTTCCCTGGGTCTCTCTCTTCTTAATCAGAAATCTGCATCTCCCATTACCTACCCTAGAGAATGGAGGACCAGAGAAGTTAACTAGAAATTTTTTAATGATAGTTTAACCCCTATCCCTTTTATCTCCTTTTGTTATAAATACTACATAAGAGTGTCAACTCCCATGAAAACCTTAGGGCGATGGCTTGATTTTTTTCTACAGCTAGTTTTTTCTCTTCTTTTTTTTGGGGGGGGAGGGGTATGAGAGTAATTCTTATAGAGTTTATTTTAAAATGACAGTATAGAAGAAAGTATGAAATGTAAATAGTCAACCTCTAACTTGCCTTTGGTCCTGGCTGGATATCCTGAGGGAATGTATATGTGTGGTGCCAGGGGCTGTTTGGGTGTGTAGATAAATAATGACCTATAGGTGGAGGAATATTCACTGATACTTTTGGTGCAATGAAGTTCAAGAAAATTTAGGAGCAAAACACTTCGGAGCAGACACTGGCTCAGGGTTTTGGGGAATTCATCTCCCCCTTCCCATCCTTTCCATACAGTGCAGCAAGGCTTTAAGGCATCAATGCATAACTTGACAATTTTGGCTTAACATTCACCTGGTTCAGCTTATTTTTTTCAACACTGCAGCAAGACCAAGTCTTTTCTAGTCATATATCCTCAATGCTTTCATCAACTACATTCTCCACCCCATGCCCCCTCCCATCTTCAAGAAGGGGGTAGGGAAATCAGAACAGGGCTCCCAGAGGTCATTAGTGCTCCTTGGCTCCTTTGGCTTTCTGTCTGTACTATAGGGATGTCCTGTATAGAATTAGATTTCCTATGGGGTTAGATAAACCTCTTTCCTTTTGGCCCTAACTGGGACTGCTGTCCCTGGTGCTGAACCATGTTTGCCCATCAGGGGATCTGCTGCCAGGTCAATGGGGCTGAATAGAAAATCTGGCTGACTGATTTTAAGAATGCCCAGGTGCAGGAGCAAGCAATACTTTGGTGTACAGGAACAGAACCCCTCCCTCCCCATACACACACACATCTCCTGGGTGTTCTCCAGGATCCCATTTGCAGTTTTCTCCTCCAGACCCCCACCCAAAATGCCTCCAACATGGCCTCAAATGCCGGCTTGTATCAGCACAGCCCACCTCGACATCAGATTGCAGTATTATCAAAATGCTACTCCCCAAACACAAAGTCTTTATGACGTTAGCTTTTCTACTCTAAAACAAAACAAATAAAATCCAATAAATTAATAAATAAACGAAAATGACCTTCCTCTTTCATCCCTCTATTTTCTACCCTATATTTTCACATTCCCCTAAATTATAACCCCATATCCTAGAACAGTGTTTAAAATCTGGGTGGTCTCCCTAGTTCCATATCCCCACCCCCTCCCCCACCCTCCGTAACAAAACAACGCTGAAAACAACACATCTTACCCGGGGTAGAGCGATAGCAGGAGCAGAATCCACACCGTCATTTTCTGTGAAAATACAGGAGTCGAGTAGTCTGAGCTTCCTGTGCTCCATATATTTGTCGAACTCATCGCTTTTTTTTTCCTCCTATGCCTCTAGTCTCTTGGTTGCAGAAGAATCCCTCCCCTTTGTATTATTATTATGCTTATGATCTGATGGTGGCTCCCCCCACCTGCCTCTAGTAGGTCCCGTCACTGGGGAACTGTATTGCCACCAGCTTTGGGAATTAATATTCAGGGGGCAGAAATAAGATCAGCACAAACGCTTGCAGATACCATCAAAGCGTCAGCTCTGGGAGCGGCTTCCAAGTCTAGGGGAATAATGTATTGGAGGTAGGGGGAGGGTACAGAGAGAGACGCACACCGATACAAATAAGGGAGAGAGATGCGCGCACACTCTACACATACTCATGCCCCTCGCACTCACGCATACTCCCCCAGGTCCATCATTTTAGGTCTATTTGTTTGCTGTTTTGATTTCTTTTTTTTTTTTTCCTTTTAGCGTGCGAAGGCTGGGCTAGGGTGTGTGTGTGTGTGTGTGTGTGTGTGTGTGTGTGTGTGTGTGTGTAAAAGAAATTTAAAAAAGATCAAAGTCTCTGTGCGATTAACTATCGCGAAGATTAACTATGAGGTCAAAGTGGAAGAGATGCTCGCTGCTGCAGCACGAATTAAAACATGCGTGGTGTCTTCCCAGCGCCTTTAAACTCCTTACTGCACACACAAGCATGGAAGGACTGACTTTCATGTGAACAAGAGATGCCTTAACAAGCCAGTAAACTGTATCACCAATGACAGAAGGTTTGTCTCATCAGATCTGCCAAGAATCCTTATTAAAATCACGCAGTCTTAGAAATCATGGTTACACTGTAGCGGGAGGAGGGGCAGACAGTGGGGGAGGAATAGCTGTTTCTCTGTAACATCCTGTAGGGAAACAGATTTGGTGAATTTTCAATTTGAATGAAAGGAGAAAACATGGATAGAATTAAAAGACATGAAAAAATTCCATGCTCCCCCTGATTCACTCCTCCCTTTCCTGTTCCCCATCCCCAGTGAAAATATAAAGACACAAACTACTTGAAGGTTAAAGAATATAATTGCATTGACACAGCTGCTTGCATAGAGAATACAGACCACAAAATAGGGGCTGCTTTTTGAAGAGAGTTGGACGAAGGGGGAAGGTTGAGAGGACATTCAACAATATAAGGAGATTTCTATTTGCTGTGTGGGGATTGACTTTTTTCGTTCTGCTTGGTGACAATCCTGAAAATTTGTGGGGTGGATGAGTCGTGTTAGCATGCTTCCTTCTTGCTTAGAATGTTACCATGGATACGGATACATGGGAGATATCCCTCTGTGCCATCCTAGTTCATCTGCCACAGAGGAAACCCCATTACTCATCATCATAAAGAAGAAAGTGAAAGAGTATTTCAAGTTTTCTGTAGAGTCCAGACCACAGCAAAGATGTACATGGAGAAATACAGGTGAAGAGGACAAATCAGACCCCCTGCTGGTATATAGCAGGGATTCATTTCAAAACCTGTGCCTTTTCTACAGGAGGAAAGTCTTCCAGGTAGGGAAGCTGAGTATGGAATCCAGGAGGCCTACGAATAGAACATGAAACGAGTAGGTCCACACTCCATCCTCAACCCTAAAAACTGCCCAAGGACAGAAGGATTACTAGTAGCTCCTGCCAATGACAGAAGTTGAGGAGACTCTGACAGTGAAGCACAAAAGGCCTAACAGACACACCTGGAATCCTGCACGCCTTTAGAAATCGGCCTTACTCTACGGCATTTGAACAAAAGCCAATCAACACCACACTATTCACAGGCTGCAATTGACTTCTTTCTATTGTGATTAAAATAGAGGGAGAAGAAATGTAAATCCCTATCTTTGTAATTTTCTTGTTCCTTGCTGCGCGGTGAGGAACTTTGGCCCTCCTCATATTTACATTTATCTACAAAAAGATGCTGGGTTGTTAATAGCTGTATTTTTGTTTTTGGTGAAGATATTATATTGTATTTTTGTAAGCCAAGGCCCAGTGCCTACCAGATGACTACGCCCCATCGGAATGGAGTTGCCACTGCCCCCCCCTTCCAGTTAGAGTTGCCAGGGGATATGGGAATAAAATTATGAGAAATCCTAATTTTTAAAACACAAAGGAAGACACACCAAACACAGGCAGGCCATTAGGTTACAAATATTGTTTCACACCACATAAAAAGTTATGTGACAATTCTGCCTTCTACCATACAGAAAATTTCCAATTTTGCAACATGTTTTTTTCCCCAAGTTTAGTAACAAGCATATTAACCTGAAAGAGCGAATGCTATCACATTCACAAAGTAGTAATTCATATACTGATCCCTTATCTGTCTCACAATGATCTCAATAAATTCTAATCTATTTTAATAATGGACTACCCACTACCCCTCAGCATATTAAGAGAATCCAGAGAGGAAATTTTACTTTTTATACTATTTGGGTACAATTTTGCCTGCACTATTCCTGGTTAGACTTCAGTTTGCCTCTGTGGACCTTTCCTATCTAGTGTGTGCTCTGAAGAAAATTATTTTAATGTATTTTTTAAGATTTTGCAATACATATTGAATTCACTGGTAATTGCAAGATATCTTATCCACTATTTTTTTTTCTAATTTTTAAAAATTTTTAAATTGTTTAATTACCTTTTAGTTACATACTTAAGAAAGTATATTTATAATGCATATTTAAATAACCATGTGTTAAGTATGATGCTTATATTTTCACTGTAAATTATATATGTATTCACAGGCATATATTTATATTAAAATTTAAAAATTAATGTGAAACAGAAAGGAAAAAACTACCACCTGCATCCTGTCATCCAAGCAAGCCATTCTCAAAATGCTGGAGTTTTGCAGTTTTTTTCTGAATACAGTTTTATTTTTACTTTTAATTTGACATATTTTATTATTATTACTATTATTATATTATTACTATGCTCAAAAGTGAATTATGAGGTCAAAAGTTGGACCAGTTTGGTTGTTGATACCAAATCTCTTATCATTTGGAGAAATAAAACGTATTACTTAGGTTCTAGTTCTGATAATGATGAAATTGGCTAGCTATCCTGCATATAATAATTTTAAGTGGTGGACAAAATATAAAATAAACAGTAGTGTAAAGTACTAGAAAGCTACCCCAAACAAGCAGAAAGTGTTGAACATTTGGCCACAGAAAGATGAAAATGAATTGGAAGAGATCTAAGATTACGTATGTGGCTTTTCCACTGAGGGCAGTTAAAGGATGACCAATTTTTCCCTATTTGCCATGAACTTGCCTGGTGTTAGCATGGGAAGTCCCACATTCCAGGAAAACCCTCCATCCCAGCGGAGCTGAGATAGAAATAATAAATTGTTCAGGCTGAGGGAAAGTGATACCATATGGAAATCCAGATCTATACAAATGGAGAACATTGAAGATGGTTAATATTTGAGAAAAAAAAAACATATTTTATTGTATTCCCTTTAAAAGAGATCTGACTTTTAAATGCAAATATTATAACAGCTCATTTTGGAGTTTATAACACATAATGCATAGTAGCACAAGTATGCCAGAGCTGGGGTTAAGTAAATTATACTGCTCCAAGTTTCTTCTATTTCATGAAGTGACATAATAGCAACTGTAAATAGACTTTGATAAATTAAAAATGAATATGGCAATCCTTAAAGCACCACTGGAAATAATATAGAAAGGTATAGCTAAAAATCATTAGAGAAATTAAAACCAAATACTAAAAAATAATTAATAAATGAAAAAGAAGGCAGAAAATGACAGAATGGGGAGAAAACAATGAGACAAGTAGAATACAAATAGCAAAATGCTGGCTGAAAATTGATATAAATAAAAGGAGTATGAGAAGAGATAAAGCACTATTTCTTATAATGCAAAAGGATTGGTTCATCAAGAGGACATAAATCTTATAAAATTTTACACACCTGATAATACAGCTTAAAATGAAATGAAGCAAAAACTCACAGTAGAAATAGATATATCCCACACAGCTGGCAATAGTAAGTCTTCCGACTTCTCATTTACAGAACACTTTACTCAATAATTGCAGAGTAAATTAGCAAATGTACAAACTTTAACTGTTCATAAAATAACCCTCAATAAATTTCAAATTTTGAAAGCTTACAGTGTATATTCTCTTACTACAACAGAATTCAGTTCGAAATCAATGGTAGGTAGAAAAGTTCCAAATATTTTGAAAATTGAACAGTATACTTCTAACTAATTCACAGATCAAAGAGGAAACCACAGTTGCCTCAAAACAAATAAAAACACAACATCTCAAAATTTGTTTTGTGGACCTAAAGCAGGACTTGGAGGAAAATTGTTAACTGTCAATATATAGAAAAGAAGAAAAATTAAAATCAGTTAACTAAGCTTTTGGCTTTAGAAGCCAGAAAAAGAATAAATTAATGAGTTCTACCTATACATATCCATTTGATTTTCAAAAAAGTGAGGCATTTCAAAGGGGACAGCTTAATATTTTAAGAGTGATGTTGGAATAGATGGGTAAATTTTCTTTTATTATTATTATTTTCTAAGTAGGCTCCACACTCAATGTGGGGCTTGAACTCATGACCCTGAAATTGCATCACATGCTCTACTGAGTCAGCCAGGCACCCCCAAAGTAGGCATTTAAAAAAAAATAACCTTTGTCTTTTATTCCATTATACATGCAAAAGCTAAAAATTACAGTTTTTAGAAAGAAACACTATCTACATGACTTTGGGGTAAGCAAAAATTTCTTAAAGAATGTATAAAAATTAAGCATAAAATATGATATTGATAAATTGGGACTTCAGAAAAATCAAAATTTCTGTTTATCAAAAGATTCTACTAAAAATAATGAAAAGGCAAGTCACATATAAGAAGAAGATATTAACAATGAAAATACCCAGCAAAGAACTTGTATCCAGGATACATAAAGAAATCCTACATCTTATTAGTGAAAATGCCAACAACCTAATAAAAATCATCAAAATACTTGAAAAGACATTTAAGATAAAAAATTGTGTATCTAAAAAGTACATGGAAAGGTTCTCATTGTCAGCATT